CTCCCAAAGTCTTACAGCAGTAAAGGGGTCATCCTTATTTAAAAAAACATATTGTAGATTATCAAGTAATATTACGTTGTTTAGAAATAGAGTAGAGTTTAGGATGACAAGCAGCCCTATCTACAAGTACTCCAGGTAACGAGCGAGCCACTAGTAGAAAATTTATTTCGCCTGACGAGTTTCCGCTCAGTTAATGAGTTGACAGTGCGTGTGTGTGCCTGTATCCGACGTTGAGTCTTGCTCCCAGGGGCGTGGACCTTTAGTTACCTGAAGTCAATCAGTAAACTGGTGCGGTTTGATTGATTTGGTTTCGGAAGACGAGCGTCTCACATGACGAGCTCGGTGCCGGAATGGATTAAACTCGTGAACCGAGGTTCTACTGTATTAATTTTTTTAGAAAAATGGTAACTTCCGAAAAAGTGAAAAATCGGGTTTATTAAGTAAACTTAAGTTTTAAATGTAGAGAAAGTCTGTTCATGCAAACAAGCAAAAATATAATTACATTTTAAAATAATTATTTTGCAAAATTTCGGATACACATGCATCCATATTACGCGCAACGTAAAGTAACTGTGACCAACGAACTGATGTACGTATTTCTTCACGTAGAAACATATGGTGCACCAACAGCTTGAGACTTATTTGTGTAACCGTATATATTCCTGTAAGCTCCTCAGCTCTCTAAAAATAAAGCGAATTTCTCATTTGTAGGACCGAACAAGTATCCCTTACACGCTATTAACTGGGCTTCTACCAACTGATATTTTCATTCAAATATTTTAGTTAAACTGAATCATACTGGCGTGAAAAAAGTGTGAACTAACGAGAAGCTAGACAGCCCATAATCGTCTCTTACGCTAGAGGCGGTTGAAGCAGGTACCCTGAAGAGCAGTTCACTTGTCTAGGCTTTCTAACTGGTTTTAAGACTAAATCAGAGTGAGACTAGGGAACCTGGATCCCTAGATGAGTTGCGACTGTCACCGAAACCGATGCAGACACTCGCGGTGCCATAGTGGTCAGATCATGTGGACAACTTTTATTAAGTGTGCGTTTTGTTGCTGGGTGCATATCTCTCCAGATCCAGAGGGGAGGCTCTGATAAATAAAACAATTTTCCCATTCCCTGTAGTTAACATCCTTCGGTACGATGATTTGTTTCTGAATCCTGAAACATCAGCCATGACCAAAAAGGTGGAAACGCACCTTATACGAACTTTGCTAGAATACGTACATATGAAGAAAACATACGGTTGGCAAATCATCTATGTACAAAGAGGGAAAGGACGCAACAATATGCCATCCGTTCAATATGTTAATGGATAATTTCTCTAACAATGACGCCTTTCGTTTAATGAACAGCTGTGCGTTCTTCCTTGAGTACTCTACCTTCCCTAAGCGGGCATATGGATTTCTAAGCTGAGCGGTGGAACGGACACCGTACAATAGTGGGTCGTTTATAAGAAAATAAGGCTTGAACCAATATTTATTACATATATTAACGTATGGGTATCCCAAGGTATTTACTAAGGAGAGGAGGAATTCGTTTGGAGACTGGTTATTTAAATGTGTGCATTTTCGTGACTGCTCCCACAGCTCTTCGTCAGACTATAGGATGTGCTCAGAAACAATAAACGAAATTAACTGTGTCTACCAAGGGATTATGTGATTAGCTGACGTCAGCGGCACTAGGCTTTATGTCATTTTGTCAGCCCGTCATGGTTAATTGTGCACGTTTAGATTTGTCCTTGAGAATTTTGTATGTGGCATGTAAATCTATATGCCGATCGATGCCTGCCTCATCTGAATGCATTACTTTCAGGAATTCGCGATCTTTTCTGATTGGTCAAGTGCAGACAATCCGTGCGTTCGCCCACGCGAACTTACGACGGCTTTCCAGTGTGTACATGGCCATCTGGGACACCTGCTCTCGTCCTCTGACCGTTAACTTTTGTTCGTGCATACGAGTTGAGGCGGATTTCCCAGTTTTGCCACAATAAAATGCGTCAAAATGGACGCATGGGATCTTGTAGAAAATACATTTTCTATCAAGGTAACCAACCCTGTCTTTGGGTGTACGCGTTGTGAACGGAAGGTAGTTGCGGGTTAATGTGCTACCTGTATCTGATGTTTCCTTAGTTGTCTTTCCACAGGCTCAGACACATTTTCACGTAGGGAAGAATTCGCCAGGTCATTATTCCATGTGCATGGGTGACCGTATTATTTGAAATACTTTTCTGCTTGGATTCTTATCACTTCATGAACTGACGCACAAAGTTACGCGGGCATCTATTTTTAGAGAATAGTTGAAAGTGCTATTTCATTTCCGCTAGATGACTTTCTTCATCAGAGCAATGTGTTTTGGCTCGATTTAGACGATTGCGGCCATAACTCATTCTGTGAAAGACCGGGGGTGCTTGCAACAGTTGCCACGACAACATTTACTGGTATTCTCATCACTTCTGCAAAACCTTTGTTAAGGAGCCTTAGTTCTATCTCTCTTAGTGAGACGAACAACCTGCCCTTCATACGTTTCTTGAAAGTTTGGATCTCCTTTCAAAATCCTTGATCTGAAAATTAGGGAAACCACCCTGCATAACTGAGGACATTGTTGACTCACAACAAACTCTCAGAGCACCAGTTCCTTTTCGAAATTACGCGCTTTATTAGTAAAATGATATAGTTTCA